GGGCGAGGGGGGCGGGGGATCCGGGGGGCCCGGGGGGCCGCCGTCCAGCCAGGTGGGCAGCAGCGTCATGCAGACCTTCAGCACCGAGGCCAGCACGTTGAGAAACAGCAGGAAGCGCAGCAGCAAGAAGTAGGACTCGGTGCCCGCGCCAAACTGGCCTACAGGGGGCGGCAGGAGGCCCGGGTCCTTGCTGAGTCAGGATTCCGGCTCCTCCTCCCTCAGACCGAGGAGCCCAGGCCCCCAGCCCCTCCTCCCTCAGACCCAGGGGTCCAGGCCCCTGGTTCCTTCTCCACTGGTACCCAGTAATCTAGGCCCCCTCCTCCTGGCCTGAGTCCCTTTTCAGCTCTCAGACAACTTGACGCCCTCAGGCGTCCACTAGTCCAAGGCTCATGGATGTCTATCCATCCCTCTGAGGAAACCGTACCTCTGTACCCCTTCTTTTATTAGAGGCAAGGCCTGCATCACCTGTGGGTACTCAAACAGAGGAAAGCAGCATCTACCCCCTAGTAGACACAGCCTGGCAGATCCCCCCACCCATTGCCCCCCACTGCCCCAGGCCAGCTGCTCAGCTCCCCCCGCCTTCCCGCTGCTAGAGAGCCTGGGCCCAGCACCTCTATAAGGTGTTGGGGTGGAGTGTGGCACAGAACACCTGGGCTCCTGAGGAGTGTGTGTGTGTGGGGGGGGGCAATTCTGCATTTGGGGCAGGAGCCAGGGCTGTGGGCTGCTGCTGACTCCAGGGTCCGGGAGAGCAGGGGTGAAGGCTTATGTTCTTGAAAAAGAAGAGACTGGGGCCCGCATTTATGGGCCTCAGGGCGGGGGCGGGGGGCAGGCATTGTGCCCCTAGATTCCTGGGTCGAGGGTGCTTGTAACACAAGATGGTTGAGGTGGGACCCTAAGGAAGAGGGGCTGGGTCCCCTACTCCTGGGTGTGAGGGAGGTGCTGGGGGCTGCTTTCCTGTCCTTTGGGTGGATTCGAACTTGAGGCCCCTGAAAAGCCAGCCTCTGGGTCTCTGTCCAGGATTTTTGAAGCTCAGAGGTCAGCCTCCCTGATCGCTGTCAAGGGCAGGCGCGGAGCACAGACCGCCTAGGACAGCGATGGCGACACGTGAACTCATTTTTTTGGTTGATTTTCCTTTGTTAAATGGCATTTAAATATATAAAATAAATATCAAAAATAGAAGTCTTGGTTTTACTGTGGTTGCAAATATCAAAAAATTTCTATATGTGACACGGCACCAGAGTTCAGTTAGGGTTTTTCAAAATGCTGACACGCCGAGCTCAAAAGGTTCGCCATCACTGGCCTAGGATCGAGGCCCTAGGGCAGTGGTTGGCAAACCGTGGCTCGAGAGCCACATGCGGCTCTTTGGCCCCTTGAGTGTGGCTCTTCCACAAAATACCACGTGCGGTGCGCGCACGTACAGGAGGATTGGAACTTTGTGGCCCATGCGCAGAAGTCGGTTTTCGGCCTGGGCGAGTCTATTTTGAAGAAGTGACGTTAGAAGAAGTGGGGGTACGTTGGCTGAGTTCGACCCCTCCGATTGAGGACGATTTTAGCAAAGGCCAGCTTAGGAGGACCCTAATGAAGCAATGTACCTACGTATATATTTTAAATTTTAAAAATTAGGCTCTCAAAAGGAATTTCACCCATCATCTTGCTTTTGCTCAAAATCTGGAAGTCCCGCTCGTGTGCCGGTGAGACGCCCGCGGGAGCCGGAGGGGGGCGCGGGGAAGGGCTGGGAGGCAATCGGGGGACGGGTCCCTCCCCCTCCCGCTCGCTGGGGATCCCCCCTTTCCAGG